TTGTTTAATTATGATTCACCATAGATGAAATTACTTATGAACGAACCACATTTTCTTCTTAAACAAATAGATATTGGATTGTTTAAATATCATTTTTCCATTGTCGAAGTGATCAAAAGAGTTTTTTTTTATTATTGTAGATTAATTGTTTGGGTTGTAATAGAAATTTATTGTTCGATAAAAAAAAATATATATGAAGACAATTAATTATTTATAATGTTTCCTATTCGTCGATGTAATTCATTTTTATCAAGAATATTTCTAGTTTTAATTCTTCTTTCAACATCTATATTTCTTATAAATGGCTTTACAAAATATTTTCATAAAACTAATAGTCATCAATTTGTACCAGTCAGAGATAAATTATTAAAAAGTTATGAAAATCAGCATGAACATAATTATAAAAAAACTCATAGTGTTAGTCGTCGAGTAAGATTAAAAAATAACTTGCATGTAACATAAATTTTCTTTATAGGAATTACTTAATGAAAATACTGAACCAATTATACGTACGTCAACACTCGAAAGACGTGATGTACTTGAAGAAAAAAATTCATCAACATTAGAACTAATTAAAATAGCTAATAGACCAGTATCAATTTATGTTCATTTTGATTTAAAAGGTGCAGCACCTAAAGTATCTTATTTTGAAGAATTATTTCCATTATTACATAAATGGGGTGCTAATGGAATATGTATGGAATATGAAGATATGTTTCCATTTGATGGTATTGTTAGTAATATAAGACATAAACAAGCTTATACAAAAAATGATATTGAAAGAATTAATAAATTAGCAAAAGATAATCATTTAGATGTTATGCCTCTATTACAAACTTATGGTAAGTCATTTGATCAATGTACAGATACTTTTTCAATTAGATCTTAATACAAATATTTGATATCTTGACGATAAAAACATGTTTTTAATAAGTGCCAATGAACTTATCAATGAGAACTTGACACATTTCATGTATGTTTACTGTCAGATTATATTTGTTTAAAAAAAAAAAAAAAGAAGAATGTTTCAAGGACATATTGACATATTCTTCCCTCATGATTCAACAACAAAATAATCAGAACAATTCTTTGTTTTTTTTTTAGGTTTCAAAAATTTTATCGAATTTGAAATTCGTTGTTGAAATATTTGTATACAATTAAGAATGTTCTAGATCATAAAATTGACTAAGTTCTTAATAGAAACTTCCTTAATATCAATGAAATGACACTTTCTTTTAAATGTCTAGATGATTAATCTTTTGAAGATTAAAGATGATTTCATATTGCGAAAATGAAAACAATCAGAAGTATAGATTAATAAAGTACTAAAAATAGTTCATGAAAACTAACCGTATAATAATTCAAATTCACTAGTTCAGATAAATCTATCTGCTATAATAAAAATTGTATTATTAGAAATCTTCGACCTGTTTAAGAGAAACCAGTTCTATCAAACGAAGTTTTTCATAATTCATAAAAATCGAAATCAATATTCAATTGTAATAATCCTATTAGAAGATCTTCACAAAGTTGTTTAATGTAATACGAAAATTAATTCAATGTCATGTCAACATAGATCCAATAATCTGATGAAAAACTGTAGTCTCAAAAATCTTACACTAAATCGCACTATTCAGGTTAAAACATCAGACATCAGATTTTTAGATCAGATCTATGATATTATACTTACAGAATCATACAAGGTTAGAGATTTGATATGAAGATCTTACGTCTGATTTTTTTTTTTTGATATGAGAATAATGTAATATCAATTGTTAAATTGTGATTGATGTTAGTAGTTGTTTTGTTGAATCTGAGACATCATTTCAACAATCTGTTGACATAAAAATGGCGAAAAATCTATTAAAAAATCGCTGCTGAATCAATACTTTATGTCTGTCGAAAAGTGAACAGTATTCTTTTACGATGTATTAAAATTTGGAACTATGAGATGTCTATTCTTTTTTGTTTTTCTATAATAGGTCATTTGGAATTTTTATTAAAATTGAAAGAATTTAGTGAATTACGTGAAAATCCTAAATATCCTCAAGTAATAACTCCATGTATAAATAAAACCTATTCAATATTATTTGCTATGATTGATCAATATTTAAATTTACATCCAAATATGCGTTTATTTCATATTGGTCATGATGAAGTTTATTATTTTTTAACAAATTCAGCATGTCAAGAATTTCAACGTTTAACTGGTATTCAAACTCAATATGATTTATTTGCATATCATCTTAATATAATTACTAATTATATTCGAGAAAAAAATTCTAATATATCATTTTTTGTTTGGCATGATGTTTTACAAAATTTAAATAGTATAACTTTACAAAAATATAAATTATTGGATACAATTAATCCTGTTTTATGGTCATATAGAGAAGATGTTCATGTTGAAGGATTTGTTATTGGTCCACAATCAAATGTTTTTGGACAATTTAAAAGTTTATGGGGAGCTTCAGCATTTAAAGGTGCCACAGATGAAGTTGCAACTATTAGTGATATTAAACATTATTATGAAAGTAAAACAATAAATAAAATAAAGTTTTAATATTTTATTTAAATTTTGAAATTAATTTAGATCAAGTCTCATGGATTCAACAATTAAATTCATATATTCCAACAAAATGGAAAAATTTCGATGGAATTATCTTAACTGGATGGTCACGTTATGATCATTTTCTTTCATTATGTGAATTATTACCATATTCAATTCCATCAATGGCTTTTTCATTAGCTGCTTGGAAAGAACCATTTAAAAGTTTTTCTAAAACTGATCTTTTTTTAAATAAACAATTACAAGACTATGTTAAAACAGAACTTCAATGTTCATCAAATCTTCATTTAAATATTCAAGAACATTCAGCTAAACAAAGTCCAAAGTAAATTAGGATTTTATTTTTGTTGTTGTTATTTATTCAAATCTATTAAATTTATTTAGATGTAAATTTCCAGGTGCTGGTGTTTATGAATCAATGATTTCATTGTCTAGTCTATGGAAACAAGTTGAACAAGCTGAATTATTTGTTAAGAAATATGTAACTGATCTTCATGTTAAATATAATTATATTCATGTTAAACGTGGCGAAGAATGTTTAGACAAACTAACACCAGTTATGTCTTTATTAAATAGTTTTATTGAATCATTTAAAAAATCAATGGATGAAGTATTTCCACCACAAGTTGCTATTGAATGGTTAGAAACTTATTTTATGAAACGTTATCGTTTAGTTAATGAACGATATGAATTTATTAGACGTGCCATTCAAGAACAAAAATCATGGTTACCTAGACCAATACCTGATACTGACAAACTTGAAATTAACCAGAAAGATAAAAGATAGAAACTAAAGAAATATAAAAAAAAAACATTTTGTGATAATTAACCGGTGAATTGATTTTGTTTTTCGTTTTTTTTTTAATTTGAGTAGCCTACTTTTATTCAGAGATTATATTCATGTCTGTTTCATAAAATATATGAGATAAAAATAATTCAAGAGATTATCTTTAATAATTGTTGCATGCATTCATGACATCTCGTCAACTTCAGAAAATAATTAAAAAATTAACTAAACCTCTTATCTAAAATTTTATATCATCTATGACTCGTTTGAATATTGTATTTGAAAAAGAAATTTAGTCATAATAATACAGCAATAATTAGTATTTTATGTTTTATCATAAAATAGTTTAAAAAATTTAATTATTGAAATATGGCTAGTCTTCTGATTCATATCAAGTTTATTTTAATTTTCATGATTACATAAATGAATGTCAATGATCATTTTGGAAAGTTTAGCAAAACGAAATGAAATTTACACTTTTAATACGAAATTGTCTGAGAAACTTTATCGATCTTCTTCTTAGAACCTTGATTTATGTACAAGTTTATAATAAAATTCTTTCGTTTTTGCAAAATCAGTCAACAAATTTACATCAAGCCCAGGTCTGAAAATTTTGGACCTAATGGGTTCTAGTCGTCTGAGAAATGTGTAGGATATGCTAGTCATTGAATATGAAAATCTAGAACAAACGTATCTAATATCTTCAGGGTGACCATCTAATTTCAATTCCACAAAATTTCATAAAGAATATCAAAGTACAGTTTGACCAGTTCTGAAACTTTTGAACCCGATGGACTTTACAGCTAACTATTATGCTCATGTACAGACGATTATGTATGCTACATTTGTTTAGAAAATTTACAAATCTATAAACAAAGAACTTTTATGAAAATGAAAGAATGAGCACTAAAACTCAAAGATGTAGATAATGAATAGATCAAGATAATCCGATAAATATACATGATTACTAATCTATGAAATCTTGTCTCGGATATTTCATTCTCTGACTTTGCTTTGTTTTTTTGAATAGATTTCGTTGTTTAAGCATACATTTTAGTTTAAAAATATAGTTGTATGTCCATTGAACAAAACAGTCGTAAAAATAAAATATTTGCCATTTCATCAATATATGTTAAGAGTTTGTCATAAAATATTTAATAGCAAGATCAGATATTTCTTAGAAAATATTCAAAATCTCTAAGCGGACGCTGAGATTGTGTTTGTTTAAATCGAAGTTTCAATGCTGTTTTATTTCAAGTACTTCGTACTTCAAACTTCTGTGTATTGTTGAAGTAATCAATAAATTATGACAATAATAACTAATGCCTTAGTTATATTCGAAGTTATTATTCACTTGAGAGCTTTGCTAAATATTAAAATCACACGTTAGCAAACACGATTGACATTTCTAGATCAATATCATGACTTTCACAACGACTATCTAAAGGACTTCTTTATTAATTTTATTTAAAATTAAGTAGCAATTATGTGACTAGTAGATTCACCGCTACTTTAGTTAAACAATTATCAATTCTTATCTTCAATATAGAAGTTTTATTAGAAGGTATGATTTACAAATATATACATTTGACAATGTATGATATAATAAAGCATAATGTTAAAAAAAATAATATATTTATGCCATCAGTAGCGATTTCGGTGAAAAGCAGTTGATTGTTCCATTCGATATTGCCACGCAGTTTTTATTTTCTTTTTCCATCGATTCAATCGTTGTCTAACAACTGCTGTACAAACACACAGACAAAGAAGACAACAGAATGTCACCATAGTTTCAGTCAGATAATAAATACGATGTCGATAAATTGGTGGTGGTTTCATACTTTGTAAGATTGTTTCTGGTAATAAACTTAATAAAGCTATTGACAATAATAAAATAATATATTTAGACATCTTTAATTCATGTCTACTTGAAAATGTTGATGATAATCCTGTCAGAGCCGCAGATCTTCTCAATCGTGCAATGAATAAGGTTAATTTTATATAAACACTTAGAATAATTATAAATGGTAAAATAAATCCAATCAATAATATATATACAGTTAATGACGGACTTAAATTTTCTGAGACAACCCATACATAACTAATCGAATCATATTTAAGTTGAGAATTTAAATAAATAAAATAGAATGGAAAAAGAAACGCAACAATCCATTGAATAATACAAAGAATTAAACGTATTTGATACATTTGAAGACGAATATGATGTGCAAATATTGCAGCAATTAGATGATGAATTGATTGTATAGTGAAGGAATAAATGACAGCCGTAGACGCAACATCATTGATGTAATAAAGAAAAAAATGTGAACTATCTTTGGTGCATTGATTAGGATGATTATCACATTGACTAAAATATTAACGAGTTGTAATAATTCATCTTTTCAATCTATTGCATTTATTTCAATGTAATTTTTCATTGAATTTGCAGTGAAACAAAAAACCGTTTTTTAGAAGAAATTTTTTAATTCTCAATAGATAAAACTTACGAAATATGAATGGAAATTGAAAGTGTAGTACTTGCATAAAATGTTATTGAAAAAACTATGTTGGCAGCAAGACAATTCGATACTGATTGCCATGCTCGATTACATAGTATAATTAATATAAAAATAAGTCCAAGTAATATTTGACAACTGGCTATGATATTAGTAAATATATTTAAGACAAAAAACCATGGCATATACGATGTTGTATTATTTGACATTATCTTTGTTTACTTTAATATTTTATAACATGAATTTGCTTGATTTTTATTTTAATAAGACGTCGACTAGGGAATAAAATCAATCCGAGATTGTTTATTAAATATAGCAAAAACAGGAATTTCTCTATGAAGAATTAATTCACAGTATACAGTTCGGCGTATCAAAAAATAGTATCTGATGAGGAAAGTCTTGTAACTGTACAATAGTTTTCGACTGAAAACCCTGTGCATTATATAGTTTCAAATGAGCTATAAATAGTCCAAGCAGAATCATTACCCTAAGCTTATTGATATGGTGAAATATTGAAATTCTATAGTATTCTTTTAAATAAATACCGTAGGTCCCTCAACAATACTAGATACACTGATTTTTAAATTTCGTCTTGAAATTTCACATAGAAACACAACTAAACAAGAATAGTTTTGGTGAATGTTTTAGATTTTGTCGCTGTTCTTATCCTAATGCATAACTATGGTAATAACGTATCTTCCACAGCAGTTATATAAACCAGTCGATCTGATATTTTTATTTCAGGAAGGACGCAAATTAAAAGACTTAAAACTTTCATAACAAATTACTCTCATTAAGTCTTCTATCTAGGCAAAGTTTTAAGTCAAAATTAGGAAATTAATTTTCTTGATATTTCTGAGGGAGACGATAGCATTTATTTAAAAACAGTTGTCACCGAAGCTTCTTTGGAGCTGAAATGTAGAACTTACATGTGTTCTTTAGTCTCATTATACTAATGCAATATACGTCATGTGACAAATTCCTGGCAAACTATCATTGTTGTTGAAACATATCGATCACTCAGAAACATTGAAATATGATTATCTCCTTAAAGTTATAATTTGATTAATTCACGTTATTTATGTTTCTAATATGAAAAAGATGGCAAACCAATGCATGACTACTCATCATCCTTAACATATTCAATATAAACTTTTACATGAGCAAAAATCAAAAGTTGCATTATTTAAAATATTCACAAATGTATTCTAGCCATTCGAATTGCGAAGAAAATTTGAGAATGTTCTAGAATTCTTTAAAACAGTCTACGTCTTGTCGTTAATGTTACTTAGTGTCTTTTTTTCGTTCCTGCAGAACCCTTAGAAAAACGTATGATACCTTTTGGCTGCAATTTCTCAGGTCTGTAATGGGAGGATGACCTACAAAACTTTGACTTAAAACTTACACTTAGTATTTTCTTCGAAAATTCATATGATGTCTACAAAATATCGTAAAAATCCACTAGTTCTCTATTAATAAACTAAAGAGACGAACTCTTTTTAGAGTATTCATAGTTCATTTCGATCTAGATACTGCATATAGTCTTAACTCAGAAGTGATTGAACAGTTGAAGAATTTTCTTCGTGAGTCAATATATAAAGAGTCTCTTGTAGAATGGCAGAGTACACCTAGTTAACCAATTTAGATGACGGCACTTCATAATGTACATGTAGGGTATTAGAAAGTTCTTTTCTTGCTCATCTCTAAAACAATCGAAAACTTAAAAATTATCTCAATGGAAATTCTTCGTTACCATATTTAACACATAGAGTTTTCTGATGAAAAAAGCTAAGCTGACAACTTGTAGAAATCAACTATGGTTGTGTTTTTTTTTTCTTTTTCACTAAAATGTAATTCGATCTATAATTTATTTTTGATTTGCATGTAAGGAATAAAAGAAAATGAAAATGTATCTATATGACGACGTTTACTTTTTTTATTACCTGAAATAGCGTATCAATCAACTATCTCGACTCCCAGTAGGCACAGTAAAAACTGAATATTATCAATTAAATTGAAAAAGGAAACATGTCTTAACGTCAGATTTCAGAAATAGAAGATAAATCAATGGAAAGAGCTAATAATATGAAAAATGAGATGATTTGAAATGGAGACGATCATTTGACAATGAGAAATGGAAAAACGAGTGACAGAAAATTTGCATAAAAAGAATTCAATATACTTCGTAGATAAAAAGAAAAAGAAAAAGAAAAACCTAACTTTCTAAAAAAAGGTAAAATTTATTTTTCATAGTATATATGCTATGCTTCAAAGTTTATTGAACTGTTATGTTAAATAATTCTGCAAATTATCATTTAATATTCATTAGTACAATAACCAGTTATAGTTATGTTGCAAAAAAATAAAATTGCAACACTTTTAACAAAAAAAAAAGATGTTATTATTTAAATTCAAATGCTCGACACGATACAGACAATCAGATAATATTTTCATACTTTGAAAGAATTTTCCTACTATTGAGTCTCATCCAAATATTACTAAGAAGAAAATATATGTCCAACTATACGGAGTTTACGTTTGATAACATAATCACTATGGCTAGTGTCGACTAGATAAAAATTATCTTATACAAACATCTATGATAATTTTAAATAGTACACGAACGTCAATGATCATTGCCATTTGTTGCGCACACAAAAAACTTTGTATTTAATGATACTTTTTTTTTGGTATCATCATGTCTTATCAATCATGAAGAAATAAATGATTTTTTTTTTCTTTAAATATTGTCGAAAAGACACATACAATCTATTACATGTATCAATAAAGATTATCAAAATACAAATGGAAAAAAAAAGCCATTAACACTCGAAAAAAATGAATTAATAAATTTTTAAAAGCACAACAAAAGAATCAAACATAAATAAATCAATATATAAAAACTGACTATCATCATGATTTTGCGTTTTTGTTGCCATAGAATGATAACAAAAGTTCATTTCATTTTTTGCCTTTCTTTCCATCCTATTCATCAAAAATAAAAGAAATATTAGAATAATAATAAAAAGAAAAAGAATCTATTTAATGATTACTTTTGAAGGAGTACGTAATTGTTGTTGAAGTTTATCAATTTTATCATTCTGTGCTGTAATCTGTTCATTCATTGATGCTAAATGTTCAGACATTGTCGCTATTTGCTCTTCATAGCCTTTCGTTGTTGTTGATAATTCATCCTAAATTAATCAAATAATTATAAAATTTTCTTTTCAAACAAAAATAAACAAACCGTCATTTTCGCTAATTCTTGTTGTGACTGTTCGATTTCAATTCGACATTTAGCTTCTTGATCTTTGGAATGTTTTAAACGTTGATGAATATTTGCTAACTTATTGTATTAAAAAAAAAACGAAAAGATCAATGAGAAAAAAAATTAATTAATTAATGATTAAAATACTTCATTATAAAAAGCAATTCCTTTGCCATTTACTAATTGTAATCTTGTTTCTAAATCAAGGATTTTTTGTGAATAATATTGTTTTATCATTATTTCACGTTCACTCGGTGGATCGGAAGTTTTTCGATGATCTCGTTCATTATTTGTTACTGACTAAAAAAAAAATGAATTAAAATACTCCGTTTTTTTTCGATACTTGTTTTAAAGAAAAAATGTTACAGCTAAAAATGTGTTAGACAAAAATCAAAACAAAAGTTTATCGAGATCCAAATGCAAATATTCTTTTGTTTTTCAATGAATTATATTGTATATCTTATGAGCCAGAATTAAACTTAGGAAAAAAACAAAACATTCTTGACTGAATAATAAATCAAGCAGCAATAATGTGACGGTATTCGAACGAATAATTTCGTTCTCATAGATGTCTATTATGATTGAAAATCGGTAGCTGTTGGAGTCCTAAAAGAGAAAAGGATACTACGCTGCTGACGCCGTCTAGATGGCAGCGGTCGCAGCATCACCATGGATATTTCTGTTGATTTCTTATATAAATCATTTGAATTTTAGATTCAATAGTTTTTCGAAAAATCATATGAAATTCATTAAGATGAAAGAAACGCTTCATAGATAACGAAATTTCCTAAATATCCAATAAGATGGAAATAAATGACGTCAGCACCTTATCTAGCGTGGAAACCGAGGAGACATCTCTTCAAAGATCTAGTTGATTCTCCCTTAATATCTGATTATTGTACTAGGTACTATGTATTAGTACTTACGAAAATGATTATTCATCCTCCTAGAATTTTAAATCACCATTTCGAAAGAAAATCTGGATAAAATATTGATTACATTAGAATAAAAACAAGTATTGGTAAAAAATCCTCTGACTTATTCTGAGAGAATAGTTCAAATAAATAAATGTTTGGATAAATGACGTCAGATCCAGCTGTGGGAATCTTTTGATGGCTCTAATTAATTCCAAATAATATAACAGAGCTACATTTGATTCCATTTTTCAAGCATTTCTTTTGTTGAGATTTTGGCTCAGGTTGAAAGCTATCAGACTGACAATTTCATGCTTTTTCAACTGGCATATGTCTTGAATAAAATGTCGTTAAGAGTAGCTCAGAATATTTTTCTATCGATACCCAATAAGCTCTACGTCAATTATTTGAGTTTTCATTCTCTTCTAAAATGATCAATTCGAAGAGAATGAAACAAGAAATTTTCAATACTAAGTTTGATTTTGATTGATATGAATATAAACGAATAAAATAAACATTTACAGTTGTAGGTAATGATGTAACAATTCCATCGAATTCTTCATTTGTCGTTGTTGTTTGATTTGTTTTATCTTTTAATTCTTCAATTTGTTTTGAATGATCATCACGCATTTTTTCTAATTTTATTTTTAATAATTGATATTCTAAACGCCAATGTTCTTTTTCTTGTTCAAGTGTACCAATTTTTTCTGCATTATAAAGTATCTTGAAAAAAAAAATCGAAAATTTAATAAAAGAAAATTTATTTTTATTTGTTTATGCACTTGTTTTTTATGAACATCAAGTAATTGTTGACAAGAATCTTCTGAGAATTCAATTAGAACATTTTCTTCTTGTTGTAAAGTTTCTTTTCGTTGTTTTTGAAATTCAAAAAGATATGTTTGGTTTTCGCGAATTAATTGTGCTATCTAAACAAAAAATAATAGAATAAAAATAGAAAAAAAAACACATCATATTCTTTTTAACCTGCTGTTCATGACTAGCTAATTTTCTTAATGCTGCTAGAATA